TGTCTATCAGGGATGGTCTAGACAGTATTTGGTCCTGCCATGAGGGCAGGGGACTGGACTTGATGACCTCTCGAGGTCCCTTCCAGTCCTAGAATCTATGAATCTATGAAAAAACCACAGTGAGCATTTATAAGCATCCCTTATAAACTACAGCAGCTAGTCTATTGCAATGACACGTCATTTACTAGCAGTTGCTTTCTGGATATCTGGGTAGGTCAAAAGGTCAGGGTAAAAGTAGAGTGGAGAACAGGCTGAGTACAGACCTACTATGATTATAGACATTCGTTAGTCTAAAACAAAACACTCTTTGGGAGTAGAGTTTAGCTAAATGGATGCTGAGCTTTTGGGCCGAGGAATAACAAGAGTTGTATGTACAAAAGAGAATCATAAAAGATTAATATTTATTACCAATAGTAACATCAATAAACAGGTAAAGAAACAGGCTTTCGAGAGGCAGTAATCTGTGTTTTCAATCAGCAGATTTTCAGTGCATTCAAAAGAGTTGAAAACCGTTAACAGGTTTTGTGCTGGGGACTGAGGGGTTAGTTCAGTGGTTAGGGTTTGGGTTAGGGTTAAGAAGAGGGTAAAGTATAGAACTGGTTGTGACTGGGGCTCCAGAGGGGCCACACTGAGATTGCTCAATCAGGGCAAACGGCAAAGAACGGGGCAGATGATCCCCCAAACTGATGGTTATTCTAATACTTAGATTTACCAAGCTAGCAACAAGACAGCTTCCACGATACCTTACTGGTTACCCAGAAGCGAAAACCCAGCCTTGGGCTCCCACCCAGACAGCCAAGTCAAATATTACTGAACATTTTGTTCATCATATGAAAAGCTCTACCAGTCCCCAAGGATTGGACACTTACCCAGCAAGTTAATGACTGTCTTACCTAAATATGCGCTTCCAGCCAATTCTTATTCACTACACTAAGATGTATTGAAAAGGAAAAGATAGGGAGAGTGTAGGTTAACAGATCGTTGTACACACCGGTATGAATAGAGATCTTAGGTCAGTTTCGTGGTAGAGATGGTGAACTTTAGAATTCTGAAAGGACTTTTTGGAACAAGTTCCATAGGTTCCAGTCCAATGTCCAATATCAGGGCGATCCAGAATGGAACTGGAGACCTCTGTCTTGCAGCTCAAACGTCCCCTGATGAAGCTTAAGCAGATCTGAGATAACACGATCGGGACCCAAGATTCCTTTTATCCTGTAGTTCTCTTGCAGCCTCTGGACAGCATACAGTCCTTGGGTGAACAACAGGCAAAGCATTATCTCTTTGAAGTAGGCCTCTTATTTCCTAAGCATCACTGGTAATTAGCTACATTGATTAGCATAAGGTAATTACCCATCTTCAGGTTTCAGAGTAGCAGCTGTGTTAGTCTGTATCCGCAAAAAGAACAGGAGTACTTGTGGCACCTTAGAGACTAACAAATCACATCAGCTATACCATCAGGGGCTCGTTCACCTGCACATCTACCAATGTGATATATGCCATCATGTGCCAGCAATGCCCCTCTGCCATGTACATTGGCCAAACCGGACAGTCTCTCCGCAAAAGAATTAATGGACACAAATCTGACATCAGGAATCATAATACTCAAAAACCAGTGGGAGAACACTTTAACCTGTCTGGTCATTCAATGACAGACCTGTGGGTGGCTATCTTACAACAGAAAAACTTCAAAAACAGACTCCAAGGAGAGACTGCTGAGCTGGAATTGATATGCAAACTAGATACAATCAACTCAGGATTGAATAAGGACTGGGAATGGCTGAGCCATTACAAACATTGAATCTATCTCCCCTTGTAAGTATTCTCACACTTCTTATCAAACTGTCTGTACTGGGCTATCTTGATTATCACTTCAAAAGTTTTTTTTCTCTTACTTAATTGGCCTCTCAGAGTTGGTAAGACAACTCCCACCTGTTCATGCTCTCTATATGTGTGTATATATAGCTCCTCAATATATGTTCCATTCTATATGCATCCGAAGAAGTGGGCTGTAGCCCACAAAAGCTTATGGTCTAATAAATTTGTTAGTCTCTAAGGTGCCACAAGTACTCCTGTTCTTTTTACCCATCTTCAGCCATTTACAGGTAGTTTACTACAAACTTCAAAGAGAAATAAGAAGGATGATATTACTTCGCAGTTCATCTAAGTTAATCTAAGTGTTAACATCTCTTTTTGATCTGTGAACTAACAGAATACAGACAGGAACTGTTTGGTTACATTGTCAACCTCTAACAATATATATGTAAAAAGAACAGGAGTACTTCAGGTGTGGCTGATGTGATTAGGTCCTATGATGGTGTCACTTGAATAGATATGTGGACAGAGTTGGCAGTGGGGTTTGCTGCAAGGATATGTTCCTGGGTTAGTGTTGTGTGGTGTGTAGTTGCTGGTGATTTGCTTCAGGTTGTGGGGCTGTCTGTAAGTGAGGACTGGCCTGTCTCCCAAGATCTGTGAGAGTGAGGGATCATCTTTGAGGATAGGTTGTAGATCTTTGATGATGCGCTGGAGAAGTTTTAGTTGGGGGCTGAAGGTGACAGCTAGTGGCGTTCTGTTACTTTCTTTGTTGGGCCTGTCCTGTAGTAGGTGACTTCTGGGTACTCTTCTGGCTCTGTCAATCTGTGTTTTCACTTCAGCAGGTGGGTATTGTAGGTTTAAGAATGCTTGATAGAGATCTTGTAGGTGTTTGTCTCTGTCTGAGGGATTGGAACAAATGCGGTTGTATCTTAGAGCTTGGCTGTAGACAATGGATCGTGTGGTGTGTCCTGGATGGACATCAGCCACGCCATCAGAGCTCGTT